CAGCTTCCTGGAGGGTGTGGGCCTGAACTGGCCAGAGAGGATTTTAACAGGAAGAGTGGGGTGGTGAGATCCACCTGTTAGTTGGTGGGACAGGAAGACTAGTGTGGCCAGAGTGTCCAGTCTGGGCTGAGGAGGAGCAGGAAATGTCCTTAAATAGGTCAGGTGGGGTGAAGGAAGAGGGCCCTGAGAGCTAGTCTGGGGTGTTGGACTCCCCAGAGCTGGTAGGATGGAGCCATCCCAGGCTAATGAGGGAAGGAGGGACTTGATAAGATTATTTCAGTGAGGAGAGAGTCACCATTGTGAGTGTGCACGTGTGTGTATGTGTGTGCGTGTGTGGGTGGGTGGGTGCACACACCTGGGCATGCATGTATGTGCATGTATATGTGCTTGTGTGTGTTGACTGCTCACTTCGCTACACTGTACAACCTATCTTAAATCTACGGTATCATTTAACCACCATCAGAACCCCATGCAAGGATTCCTGGTGGCTCAGTGGTTAAGTGCTGGGCTGCTAACCAGAGGACCGGTATGTTTGAACCCAAAAGATGTACAGTCTGCTCCTGTAAGGATTACAGCCTTGGAAACCCTATGCGGAAGTTCTACTCTGTCCTATAGGGTCTCTAGGAGTTGGAATCCACTTGACGGCAACGAGTTTAGAACCCCATTGCGCAAGTGAGGGAATGGAAGCTCACAGAGGTGAAGCCATTTGCCCAAGGTCACAGGGCAAGGAATCTGTGGTTTGAGGCTCCCTCCTCTGATACCCACAGGTGGAAGGAGGAGGGGTGTGGGGCATAGGGTGAATGGGGAAGGAGCAGAGAGGAATTCAGGGTGTCTCAGTAGATGTAGTGATGACAGCTAAAATGGCTTTATCCTTCTAGGCGTCCTTGGTCTTGGAGCCCAGTTTAGCACTTTTTCTTCCCGTTTCATGTGTTATTTTGGTCAGGGATGCTCTCTTTCAAATTAACTCAACAACATTCCTCAGGCCCTTTGCCTGGGCCAGACCCTGGGCTGGTCCCTGGAGACCAAAGATAAGTGATGACATCATCTTCAAAGCTGTCAGTCTGGGGCAAGCATCCAAGGGTTGGGTGGAGGGGTTTGAAATCTCAGGGGGGTGGGGTACTAGGTTCTTTTAAAAATTTGAGGTAGAATTTACATTGAGGAAAGTGCAGAAATCTTGAGTGTGCAACACTATGAATTTTAACATGTAAACCCCCATGTAACAGGTCAAGATATAGAGCACCCCATGACCCCCAAGGCCTCCCTCCATGGGCAACCACTCTACTGACCTCTGTCACCAAGGTTTAGCTTGTTTTTGAACATCTGGGATACAGGTCTTTTAAAAAAGCATTTTCAGCTTCACAATTCTGTATTCAAGAAACAAGCTCAGACCCCAGTCAAGCATAGTGCCATGGTTAAGGGGAACACTGGGGACCCCAGGGGTGGTGGGCTGAGCCCTGGGGGGTGTAAGGGGGAGCCCTCTAGCTGGTGAACAGGCAATGCAGGACCTCCTTGACATTCTCATGCTTTGGTGGTGAGCCCATGGGTGTATTTTCTGGCTACAAACTGTGCCAGTGCACCCCAATTCTTACTGTCCGTGGCCTTCATTGTCTCTCTAGCAACCCAGCCCTCACCACGCCCAACCACTATGGGACTGGGCCATGCCCGTAGCAGTATCACATCCCAGATGGGGGGGCCTTTGAGCAAGATGCTCGCTGTATTTTTACACAAATAACGTGCGGATTATACGTTTTTTGTCAACTGTAAAACCCTCCTCGCTATTTTTGTAACTGAGCTATGCCACGTGTAATACGAACGTGCCCATTATTTACGTGGCACATTATTTGCAAAAAAATACAGTCATCTGTCTGTGCTTCCATTTCTTTATTGAACGGGGCTAATCATAGTACCTACCTTACAGGTTTTAGGGAAACCCTGGTGGAGTAGTGGTTAAGAGTTTGGCTGCTAACCAGAAGGCTGGCATACATTTAAAAAGATGGAGTGAGTTAATATCAAACGAGTTAATATTTGTACAGTTCAGGAGTGTCTAATATGTAGTAAGAGCTATGTCAAAACTAATATGATCAAATCTGGGCTGGTGGGAATATGCTAGGATACTCAGGGGCTATTCCAGTTGAGCATTAGAATCTTGAGAAGGGGCAGAAATTTTGCTGATGATCAGATAAAGTGGGCAGGGGCTGTAGGAGGCTAGGGCCTCTGACTGGCCCTCATGGAAGGAGAATCCTCTCGCTCTTCTTTGCACAATGAGGAACCCAGCCAGGGGCCCAATAAATGCCAAATGCTTGGCTGATTTCCTGGAGGGCAGGAAAAGGGTCACTTGGCTCCCATCAACTTTCATTTTACCTGCCAACCTCCAGCCCTGGAGATTTGGGCCGTGGAGAAGCGAAGCCCTTGGACGTGCAGGCCGTCATTCCCACCTTCCCCAGAAGGGCGTTGCCCTGCCCACTCGGCCTCCATGTCTGCTGTGAACAACCCAGCCCTGCCAAGAGTCACAAGTATTTCACTGGCTTAGCCCCCTAGGGGAGGCTGAGAGCTGAACCCAGGCCAAGGGCCAGGAATCTGCTGAGTTCTCAGTCGCGGCCAAGGTCCTGACCTGTGAGGCAAGCGACCTCTCTGAGCCGCACAGGAGGCTCCTTGACTCAGAGGTCCCTGATCACATGGACCAGGCCAAGGGTGCAGAGGAGATCCTCAGTGGGCTTGTGGGTCTGAGTTAAAGTCCTGACTCAAATAAACTTCACTATGTGAGACTGGAAACCCTGGTGGCTTAGAGGTTAAGAGCTACCGCTGCTAACCAAAGGGTTGGCAGTTTGAATCCACCAGATGCTCCTTGAAAACTCTATGGGGCTGTTCTACTCTGTCCTAATAGGGTCACTATGAGTCAGAATCGACTCAGTAGCAATGGGTATGTGAGATTGGCCAGGTCATGTGCACTTCCCAAGCCTCAAGTTTCCTTCTCTGCAAAATGGGCACAACCACAGCCATCTGATAGTTATGAGAATTAAATGAGGCAGAACAGTGTGGTGGGGAAGAGCCGGACTCTCTGGGTTCAAACCCTGGCTCTACCATGGAACACAGGGGAAAGGATCTAACTTCTCTGTGCCTTGGTTTCCTCATTTGTAAAACAGCGATAATGAGCTCCCACCTCACACAGAGGTTGGGAGGATTACATGAGTTAACACATGTATAGCACCTGGCATATTACTTACCATAACAGGCATTAGCTATTACAACTAGTCCCCAATTGACGACAGGGTTCTGTTCTGTGACTCTGTCGTACGTCAGTTCTGACGTAAGCCGAATACCTCATTCTTTTTTAGTTTTCATTATTATTGCCTTTTATTATCAGTATCTTTATAAAGCCGATGTCTATTTGTCTTTGGAGGTTGACATGAGAGTGATAATATCAGCAAATTATGCACTGCAACACTGTATGTAGTACACATGACTAACAATAAAATGTAAAAAAAACAAAAAAACTGGCTCGTTGTAAATGTGGTTCGTGGTAACTTGAATACGTCGTAGATCGGGGACTACCGTATTACAGTTGTTGCGAACTTGGCACATAGTGCCCACCGCATGGTGTATCGATTACTAACTCAGCGGTGAGAAGTTGGGCAGTGAAGTCAGACAGCTGCAGTTTGAGTCTTAGCAGTATCACGCATTAGCTGTGTGACCCTGTACAAGTTACACCACCTTTCTGTGCCTTGTCTAGAAAACGGAGTCAATAACATTACTTATCTCTTCGAGTTCTGAAGTTTAAAGCAGTTACCCAATGTAAAGTGCTGGCACATAGAAAGCACTAAGTATTATTAGATTAATACTGTATTATAACTACATAATAATCTTAACATTATTAGCATTCTAATGGAGGAAGGGTAAGTAAGGAAACGAATATTTATTGAGCACCTACTATGGGGTCACGATGAGTCGAAATCAACTCGACGGCAATGGGTTTTAATGGGTACTATATACAAGAGTCCAGGCAGTGCAGTGGCTAAGAACTACGGCGAGCTATGACTGCCAACCAAAAGGTCAGCAGCATGAATCCACCAGCCACTCCTTGGAAACTCTATGGGGCAGTTCTACTCTGTCCTATGGGTTTGCTATGAGTTGGAATCAACTCAACAGCAACCTTTTTTTTTTTCTTTTTGGTTTCCATATACCAGCACTTCACATGAAATCATCTTACAAAGATATCATAGGATAACCATTAGATATCTGCATTTTTAGAGGAAGAAATTGGGCCCTGAGAGCCCCAGCTAACTGCCCAAGAGCCCACAGGTAGTGAAGGGTGAGTGGCTCAGCTGGGCAATGGTTTAGGCAGGAAGGGAAGAAGCAGCGCTTAGTGAGAGCCTGCTATGCACCAAGGATGGGGCTCGATGCCTTGTTACAGCCTTTAATCCCCATGGCAATGCTAGCGGGGTATAGTCTTATCCCCATTATATAGTTGAGGGCCTGAGTCTCAGAGAGGAGAGTTGTTCCAATTCTTTCAGCTGCTAAGGGTGGAGGAGCCCTGGTGGTGCAGTGGTTAAAGCACTCCCCTGCTAGCCAGAAGGTTGGTGGTTCAAACCCACCAGCTGCTCCTTGGGAGAAAGATGTAGCAGTCTGCTTCCCTAAAGACTTACAGCCTCGGAAACCCTATGGGGGCAGTTCTACTCCATCCTGTAGGGTTGCTATAAGTCTGAATCGACTCAACAGCAGTGGGTTTGGTTTTTGGTTCTGGTTACTAAGTGCTGGAGCCAGATTCAAATGCAGTTGTCTGTCCGAATTCTGCTTAAGCAGGCATTTTGGTCACAGCCGTACACAACTCCCACCAAGCCAGGGGACACAAAAGCCTTTAGCTATAGCTATAAAACCCAAGCGAGAAGACTGACTACTGGGTCCACACTGGATTCTGTTCCAGGCTCCTGGGAACAGGTGGCCACCTCCAAGGAGGCTTCTGGACACCCTCATAGAGACAAGGACAGTAACACCCAAAGGGGTCATTGTTACCCAGAAATCTTTATTACAAAAATATTTTGCAAGCCAAAAAGTTTAAGTTGCAACTATATACAAAATGGGGCCTGTTTCCTTCCCAGCAGTCTTAAAATAAACGCCCGAAACCACGTTCCTTCCGCAGTGTTCTTTCAACCTCTTCCTTTTCCTGAGGTTCGATACACAAGGTGTGGGGAATCTCCAGGCTGCCAGGCTGAATGAAGCTAAAGCTATACGTCTTCCTTGGCCTCATTCCCCCTCCAAAAATGAAAATAAAGTCAAAGAAAAATGGCACCAAGAAAACATTCTTTTAAAATTCTATGTGTACGTGAGTATATGTGTGTGTGTACGTGCAAAAATGTGTGAGTGTATGTGTATCTGTGTGTATGCAGGCATGCATGTCTGTGTGTGTGTACATGTGTGTGTGTGTGTGAATGTGTGTATGTGTGTGCACATGGGCATGTGCTCTCTCTGGGTAGAAGACAGGGAGACCCAGGTTTATAAACCAACCCTTTGGAATTGGAAATGACAGGAGACAGGTGGCTGGGCCACTGTGGCTCCCAGATGCCACAAAGGAGCCCTGGCTTGTCAGGCCAGGTCATGCCCACATGGCATGCTGGCTCAGTTAACTCCTGGATGCTGTTATGGAAAACACCAAGCCACCATCCCCAGAGAGCTGGGTCTGTGCTGAACTCCTCGAATTCCATCTTAGGACCTGATGACGTGCCAGATGGCCCAGGCTCTCGCTCTGACAGACTGGGCCAGGAACCCCTTGGGCACTGAGTGCCTAGACCAGCCAAGGGGCCATGAATATTAGCATTTTAACTCTATGAGTTGATCAGTTACAGTGAAGACCGAATGAACGGGGCTTGCTTGCCCTGGGGCCAGCCAGGCCCTCATACGTTTTGGGGCATTGGCTCCCCGAACTGGAAGGGGTCACTGCCTCTGTCAACCCTCCTGAGATGGAGGGACAGAGGGCAGAACAGCCCTGGCTTCACAGCTGCGCAGTCCTCCTGGCTGTCTTTGATTTGTTCCAGTTTGATCCCGAGAAGCTTTGAGAGCAGAAATGGAAGATTCCTCCTTGAGGGATCAGCTCAGAGAGCTGGGGTAGGGAAGGGCGCTAAAGGGGTGGGGACAACAGCCAGGCTCAGCTTCCCCACCCTGCAGGTTCCTAAAGTGCTTGTGAGAGATGGTGGGGAGGGACTTCATCTTTCCTCTTCCCATTCTACAGATGAGCAGACAGGCATTAGGTCTTGACAAGACCGCACTGCCAAGGAGGTGGCCAGGAGAAGCACTGGAAGACTGGGACTTACCACTGTGGGTCACGGATGGCAGGAGAACCAGCCACATGGCTCCACTGAGAACGGGGCCAATTTAGTCCTGGCCAGAAGGCTCAGTGTCTCCATGGAGCAGCCACACCGGCCCTTCCTCCTCATCCTCAGGGCTCTGGAACTTGGTGGAATTCAGTCTCTGCTATAAGAAAATCCTTTCAGGACAACAAACTGTTAAACCTTAGACTTCACAAAACCCAACCATGTACTTCACCACGTGACAAAGAGTCAAGATGACGGCGTTGTTGTCCTAAGGAAAAAAAATGAAACACCACAGATCAAAATTTCTAATACCTCAGTTTCAAGATTGCACGTTTCACATTTCTCAAATAATTTACAGGCGTCCACAGCGAGATGTTGTGAATTAGTACTAGCTGTAGAGAGCAAGCTGGGCTAGAGAGAACAGGAGGGTCTGTGTGGAGTGTCACAGTTGGGATGACGGGTCCTTGAGGAGTTCTGGAGGGGCACAAGGAGGAACAGGAGGACAAGGAGGAGGTTTCGTCTGGTGGTCCTTCAAGGGGGTTCCTGGGAAGGTTCCCTTCTCCCCCAGGGCCTGTGGCTCGTCGGCCCAGGGATGGGGAAGGCAGGACCACTGGCAGCTACCTCACCAAGGCTCAGGATATGGGTCCCAGGGTTCTTGTCCAGCTTCTCCATGGTTGGGGCAGTTCAGTCTAAAGGGAAATGGTTTGCCAAAAGCCCTGGTATGGTAGTGTTGGCAGGTGAGGAGGTGGAATCCTCTCCCTCTTCACCCTGGCAGATTAAGCTGTGCAGCGTCAAGGAGGCAGTCAAGGGTCTCCAAGACCATGACAAAGATCCAGGTGTTGGTGCAGCAGAGGCACGAGAGCTCTTGGGTCCCTGGCTGCTGTGGTCAGTGCCCAGGTGGGCTGCCTGGCTGGTTTGGCAACATCAGCCTCCCTGTGTGGGAACGTGTAGGGCCGTGGTGGGCCTAAAGTGTTGGAGAGCCAGAGTGGTGGGGAGACAAGAGCTGCCCTCACTCCTGGGTCCCAGGGCCTGGCCATCCTGGTGTTCTGGGGGCTGGGCTGCTGCCCCCCAACATTGTGGCTCCATGTGGGACAGGAAGCTCATGGGGAACGGCCCTAAAACGACCAAGGCCGTTCACTTCCTCTGGATCCGGACGCTGGCGTATTCCGAGCAGGAAGGCTCGGGCTTGGGGGCAGAATCCTTGGGGACCTGGTTGAGATGGACCATGTCCAGGTTGGCGTAGGTGAGGGTGTCCTCCGACCTGCGTGGTGGGCTGGCCTCAATGTTGGCATACTCTGTGTGGTTGTTGGGCTCGGCGGCCTGTGGTGCTGGCTTCTTCCCCCTAGGCAGGTTCAGTTCTGCATAGGTGATGTCGTTGTTCATGTTGTTTGTGTCTTGGATCTAAATGAGATGGAGACAGTCATTCTGGAGCCTCCAGCCTGCCTACCAACCAACTGGGTACCAGATCCTGGTGCTCTATCTCCTCTTGGCCCTTTCTGGCTCAGCCCTAATTAAGGTACCCTTTACTCTTGCCTGGGTTATCCTACCAGCCTCCTCCTTGGTCTTCCTGCCTCCAGCATTACCTCTGCAACCAACCTTCCTCCCTATGGCCTGAAGGTCATGCCACAGCCCTGCTGCAATGCCACCCCATCCTGCTCCTCCTCCTCCTAACCTGAGCCACCTGCAGTTCTCTCTGCCTTTCCCCATGCTCTTCCCTCTGCCTGGAACATCCATCTACCTCCTTCTTGATGTATTGAATCCCAACGCACATCACAAATTTCAGCTCAAGCATCACTTCTTGCAAGACCCTCCCTACCTTGCCTCCCTCGGCTGGGTCCAGGGCTCTTTCTCTGTGTTCCCTCAGTCTGTTTCTCCATCACAGTACCCACCACTCAGATCTGAGAGGGTCTGTTTGGGGGCCTGACTAGATGCTGATCTCCCAAAGGGTGGGGACATTCATTAATTTGCTCATTTACTCAACTGGGCATCTATTACAGTGCAGAAACCAAGGATGCACAGGAGACTCCCAATCAATGTTGAATGAATGAGTGGCAACAATGTCAGCTGGAGGAGTCTGGTGGCCTTACTCAGGGTGAAACTGGGGACTGTGAGACACAGAACAGGGCTGTGTAAGAATGAGACCATCAGCTAGCAAGTAGTACAGGCTCTGGAGACAGACGGCCTGGGTTTGAATCCTGGGTCTGCCCTCTCTAACTGAGGCACTTTGGGCAATTCACTTAGCTTCTCTGGGCCTCAGTTTTTCCCATCTGTAAAGTGGGGATAAGAAGTATCTATTACAAGGGTTGCTGTGAAGATTGAGATTATCCAGCTAAAGCTCTTAGAACAGGGGCTGCACACAGTAAAGGCTCAATAAATGGTATCGATCGTCAACTCCTTAGCAACCTTATCAACCCCACAGCTGTTGCCTTAAAATGACACATCATGAATTAGAAACTCTGCAGCACCTGGGCTGCAGACGTCCAGTGAAACTACCAACAACCACCACGACTCATTCCTGTCACACAGTAATAACCATAGCTCTCGGCCACCGATGGCTGGTAAGCACTACGCTTTCACGTGTATCACCTCATCGAGGCCACACCACAACCCTGCTAGATAGAATTATTAACCCCATTTTACACTTGAAGAAACTGAGACCCAGGGAGGTAAAATAATTTTGCAAAAGTCTCACAGGTGGTAAAGAACCAGTCTGTTGGATTCTAAAGTCGTGTCTTACCACAGAGCTCCTCTGTCCTGGACCCAGCACACTCCCTCTCTTTTCCCTGGGATCCTGCATTATACTCCCTCCCCAGCAAGGGCTGGCATCTGGCCTGGGAATCTGAGACACAAGACCACAGCCCCAAAGAGCTGGGCTGTGATGCCTTGCTCACTGCACAGAGACAGGCACATAATAGGTGCTCAGTAAATCTCTGCTGAGTGTGAATTTTATACAGGTTTGAATGACCAACGCTCACCACTGTCCTTTCCCAAGAAAGTTCCAGAAGGAAATCCAGAAATAAAATGACAGAGAAAGCATCCCTCTCTCACTATTGGAAATTACTGTGTTTTTCCTAATTACAACCCGAGCTCATGCCCAGGAGGCCAGGACTCAGGGCTGCTGTTGGGGCGGCAACGGGTCAGGAGAGCAGGCCACAGTGTTCCGGCTGACAAAGAGCACGCCTTTCATCAGCCTGACTCCCTTCCACAGATCACATCTAAAATGATGACAACCGCCTGGGAGATGTCAAGGACAGCTGGTGCTCTCTCGTCCCTGGGTTCAGAGCAGGGCCTGTCTCATTACCAGACGCCAAGCAGCCCTCTGCCTCCAAGGTCTGACAGTGTCAGCTGGTGATAAGCGGGGCTAAGGTTCTCAGAAACAGGCCAACCCTGTTGTCTGAGAAATCTCAGCTGGAGGGAGTGTGTCCTTGCATGGGTAATTAATGACACAGGGTCTTCCCATCAGCAAAGACTAGACAGACTCTGGCAGCGCTGGGCTGCACGGATTCTGTGTGAGATGGGCTGCAAGGGGGTGGTGGGGGAGCTGGGGAGGGTGCTCCTGGTGGAGGGACTGGCTGGGGAAAATACACTGAGGCAGGCAGGCATAACCCACACCAAGGGAGGGCTGCAGCGCAACTCCAGGGCACCATTTACAGAGAACACTTTGTGAACGGTGCTCTCTGGAGTTGTACAACGGGTGGCAGCGAGTTAAGGAGCCCATGGCAGACTCCCATGCTGGCTGGAGCAGAGAGAGGGAGCGTACGAGGACAAGGAGGGGACCAGGAATGTAAGGATCCTCCTCACACTCCCTGGGAAGGGAACATGTCTTAATTTAGAACAGGATCTGCCACGCCAGCTGATCTGAGGATATCACACCATCTAGGTTCCGGAAGTGTATCTCACCAAGGACTGTACCTGGGTTACTTCTCTGGCATTCTTCTCAGGCTCATGCAACCTAAAAAGGAAAGAGACGCACAGATAAAAATATCCTCCCTATCTCAAGGGCTCATACAAACTGATAAGAATAACATTTAAGTTCCACTTCCTTTATGGGTGGAGGACATGGATGAACAATTCAAACAAGAAATACAGCTGCTTATCAAATGTGGGGACAAAACGGTCAATCTCAGTAAAAAGGAGTTTTCAACAACACACTGGTTTTTCTGCCTACTATATCAGCAAGTTATCTTTAAAAAAGTTATAATACCTGGTGCTGGGGAAGGTGTGGTGAAACGGGCACTTTCCATACATTGTTGATGGGGGTGAGGGCAAACCCGTATAACCCTTTTGGAAAGCAGCTTAGCAATACAGATCAAGAGCTTGGAAAGTGTCCTCAGCTTTTGACTCATGAGTGTTTTGTTTTTTTTTTTGGAATCTAAAATACAGAAAAAGCTTTATGCACAAAGGCACTTGTCACCGGTGTGTTTACACGGTACAGCTCTGCCAACTGGGACTGGTTAAGGAAAGGAGGGGTGGACTCAGATACAGATTTAAAAGGCTTCTAAGGAGACTTTTCTTATTACAAATGATGATATTAAAATGGTAAATGAAAAAGCAAAATCCTCTGTGGAAAGACCTCAATTATGAAAAATGTGTGGATAACACAGGAAGGAAACAGGAAAATGCTAACAGGTTTTCAGGTCTTTGGGTGGCATTTTTAATTCTAATTTCCCATATTCTCCAAATGTTCTATATTATAAATACTTATGTATTACCATAAAAAAGGAAGAAAGACCAAGATGTCTTGGCCAATCAAAGAGGCTGGCTCACGCACTTGACTCTCTAACTGGAGGCCGGACTTGGCTCACTTGCAGGGTCAAGGTGGTGAACAAAACCACACCACTGGTTCTGCAGAAGCCGGATGATTCTCCAGCCGGAAACCCTGGGGATGTGATCCTGGATAATGTTGGAACTGAGCAATGGGGCTTGGAGCAAGTTTTCACAGCTTTGGCATGAGGGCTTGCCTGAGAAGGTAGCTCTGGGGCATGGCAAGCCCCATGTGGCCACAGGGACAGCTGACCAGGAGGGGGTCACATCTGATAGGGGATCATACAGATCTACCCATACCCCGCCAGCTTCAAACACTTCTGGGGTTCAAGCCCAGCTCCTCTCTGGTTCAAGGCCAACTCCTGGCCCTGCTCAGAAGCCCCCTGTGGTCTGGCCCCTGCTGACTCCCTCAGGCTCATTTACTCCCCCACTTATCCACCCACTGAATATTTAGTGAGGGCTATGTACTTTACGTTTTAATAACAGCCTGGATTGACCCCCTTGACCACTTTTTCTCTTGACTAACTCCTGTTTATCCTTTAAGACTCAACTCTGGCATTGCCTACTTGGGAAAACTCTGATGGCACTGGGCTGGCTGGGATACCCCTCCTTGTCTATGTTTATACCTAGTTTATATATCCGTCTGCCATGCTTCCTCACCAGGTGGGGGCAGGTGCTCAAGAGGTGACTTGGAATGAATGCCACTCAGACTGGCCCTGGGCTTTTGTATACTCATTCCTCCCTGCCTCTTCATCTGCTTCATTGTATTTCTTCCTCTGATCCTGTTTTAAAGAGTCCTTTCTCAGGACACTTTCACTGAACCCCCAAACTCCACTCTCAGCACACTGGGTTCCTCTCTGTCAGAGCAGTATTTCAGACTGTGATCAATTATCCATTTTCCAGGTCCGTCCCTTCCCCTGTCTTTCCTATTCCAGTGAATGGCACCGCCACGATCCAGCCCTATGTTCAGGATCAAGAAGTCGGGTCATCCCCGATTCTTCTCTCTCTTCCTTTACAGCCCACATCTAATCCACCCCAAGGCTCGTCAGTGCCACCTCCAAAATATATACCAAAACCCACCACTCTGTCATTGTCACCATCCCTGCCCACTAACATCCTGAAGAGCCTCCTCTCTGGTCTCCCTGCTTCTGTTCCTGTCCTTCTGCATTCCACTGTCCACATTTCAAAGGCATACATGATGTCACATCACTGTTCTGCTCAAAACCCTCCGCCCCTTCTCACCACACAGCGGAATCCAACTCTGTACTCTAACTGGCCAGGTCTGCCGACTGCTGGAGTCTTCTCTCCCTTCCTCTCTCCCTCACTCCACTCAGGCTGCCCTGACCTCCTTCTCAATGCTTCATGGTCTCTGGGCCCCACTCTTCCTTCTGCTTGGCTCACTATTGCCCCAGATGTCCCTGTTGCTGGAGACTGCTCATCCTTCATTTATCTTCTAAACATCACCTGTCACCTGTCACCTCCGTAGACAAGCCTTTCCTGATCCCCACTACCACCCACCTCGCTGCTCTGCTCCATCCTCTTACCCGGCTGTATTTTATTTAGTCAGCACCGGCATTACATCATTTCTTAACCTCCCAGCTTGTTTGCTGACCTGCCTCCCCACTGGACTGTGGGCGCCACGTGGGCAGGGACTCTCAAGGAACCCGAGAATGGAGTTTGAGGGACGGAGTTCTGAGAGAAGAGTTTGGGGGTTCAGCAAAGGTATTCTGAGAAAGGACTGTTTAAAACAAGATCTAAGGAAGAGACAGAGTGAAGCAGATACAGAGGCAGGGAGGACTGAGTGTGCAAAGACGCTGGGCCAGTCTGACTGGCATTCATTCCAAGTCACCTCTCGAGCACCTGTCCCTATCTGGTGAGGAAGCATGACAGACACATAAACCAGGTATGAAAATACGCTAGGTTTGGGATTGTGACAGAGGGGTGTCCCAGCCGCCCAGCACTGTCAGAGAAGCTTTCCCAAGGGGGTGACACGAGAGTTAAGTCCACCACCAAAGCCCCAGCACC